GGGGGGGAAATGGCCACATTCTAAGTATGTGTGGGACAAGTTATTCTGGACTCTCAGTCTTTTTTCCCAGCTGGGTTCAACCACTATGGGCCGGGAAAGGAAGGATTTGAACAGGGCCTGGACTAATGGCACCTCTACACTTCTGTGGCTTTATACATTGCATTTACATGCTTAATTGTACTGTTTTAAGAGGTTCTGAGTTGTGGGAACAATTGGCTAGATTCTGAGGTAAACATACACACATGTAAGTTAGAGTTTATGCATCTTTGACAAATTTCTAATTTGACATTTAAAATAAACATTTTTACAATCATTGCAGCAGAAATTCTTGCATGCTCATTTGGCTAATTTGCATCGTCAATAAGTAGACGGATGCATGAATTTATAATCTATGCGATGTTGACGCGTCGGGGATAATTTGACAATTTGTTATTGTAAAAAACAAATTGACATCACTTTTTGATGCATCTGTGTTGTTATTGACAATGAATTTCCTCATGACATTGTCAAAAGTAGTCTGCAGATCCACTCGGCTATCACCTCTAGGATCCACAGCTACTTTGACAATGTTATGATGAAATTCATGATCAATAACAAGACAGATGCATGAAAAACTGAGGTCAATTTAAGTTTATTTTCTGTTCTAGAGGGCAGACCAGATTATTTCCGAGTTTTCCAAGAAATGTTCTGAACTCCATACCACAATGAGTGTTTTCCAAAGTGAACTGGCTCTACTACCAGAAGTAATAAAAAATATTGAAACAGCTAAGGCAGATATAGGTACGTTATAATACTAACAATACTTTGTAATGTGCAGTTCCAGAAAATATCCATACTCCCCCCACAGAAGGGATTGAAATTTCCTGGGGGGATGGGGGGGTTCTGGAAGACCAAAAAATTTAAATGAATTTCCAGGGGGGTGGGGAGGTGTTGGAAAAAAATCCCTTCCATGGGGGACTGTATGGATAATTTCTGGAACTACACAATATGTATTTTATAAATACAATTAAGTTGTAAAGTGATTCTGACTTATGCTTTTACCTTGGCCAAACTAAATTGAAATGGTGGTCAATGCGCGTAGATACAGGAATATCAATCAAACCAGTGTCTGATTTAGGATTTCACTTTAGAGAGACTTTCTGTCCCAGCCAACAATTTTCTAGGGCACATTCCAGTATTTTGGGGGACACACTGTTTTTTGTATTGCAACCACTTGAATTTTTCCAACCAGGTAGATTGAAAGTTTCTCCTTGCTGCTTTGGCTTTCGGTTCGGCAAAAGGTTCACTTTCATCAGTATCACTCAATTTATCTTCATCAACGTTGTTGATTCTGCTGGTTTCTGTTTGCGGTCTGTGTTCTTCTCTTTTGTTTTCTCGACCAAAGAATGATAATATTCTTTTCTGCTTTGACATGACAATAATATAGCAGAACGACAAAG